AGATCTGAAGAAAATCTTCTGGTTTTCAGCATTGTGAAACAACGAATATGCAGTTCTGAATGTATCTCTCAAGACTATTTGTATACTCTTCCATATGTTTTTATTACATTTTCTTAATATACTGTCACTTGTCTTAAGTCTCAGTTGTCTGTTTTGTCTCTCTAAAGTGTCTAGTTACAGACAAATTCATACTGTGATTTTTATTTTTATTATTAAATGCTATCAAACTGTGATGCACTTATTATTCACTGGTCCTGCATCAGGAGATGAGTGGGGAACCTGTATTAAATACAGTTCATCTGAATAATCTGTCTGGTTTATACAAGCTGTGTTGTTCAGAGATGTCTAAAGTTTGATCTTTGTTTTTTTAAAGATAAAAAGCACTTGCCCCACTGTAAATATATAGCATGTAAAATTTATATAGTATATAAATACAGCAAAGTTAAAATGGATTTTTACTTGAGTTTTACTTGAGTTATTTAACATGCAATATGTCATGTGAATTGACAGCTTTCAGAGTGTGTTTGATACTCAAGAAATCAGATCTTCCTTTCAGTGGTAGGGGAGAAGATGCTGTTGGTGTGACCCAGAGAAGATAAGTAACTTGGGACTTCAGCTGCCTAGACAAGAATGCAGAAGGCTTTCTCCTTTGAAGTTAAAAGCTTCCAAAACCAGGCAACAGGTTGGAAGCTCAGCAGTAGCTTTTTACTGTGTGAGACACTAAAAACAAAAACAAAAAAACACCAAAAACCCAAAACCAAGGAGCAAGCTTAATGTTTTACTAAATACTTAAAGTAATATTTTGGTACATGGAGAACACCATAAAGCCAAACCATAAGTGTACCCTGCATAATGTTCCTATGGCAACAGTTATGTGAAGTTACATAAAGTAACATGACAAAGAAACCACGTACCTCTCCTGTATCTGGCTTTTTATTCCTCTTGTCCTTTGGCTCCAAGATTTGGTGTCTTGTCTTTGTCTGATGAATAACTCCAGCATAAACGTATAGAAGGAGTTTATATGTTGACTCGATTCAGAGCTCCAGAAGCAAGAACTGCCTGAACTGGCCAATGCGCAGTAAACGGAGGGAGGGCAGTTCCTGACCACTTCGGATCAGAGCCACGGAGCAGCAGACTGGGCAACGGCAGCAGCATTAGCAAGTTCCCATTGGGGGAGGTCTAATTAATTGACCTGAGGAGCAGAGATCCGATTCCCACACATAAACACTTACGTGTGACTGAAACTGGTGGAAGAGAACTGACAAAATACCTCCTTAATTTTGGTGGCTCTCAAGGGAAACCAGCTCTTAATGGTGTAACACTTGTGGTCGTAGCGTACTTTACTGTAACAGTCTATTTTGCAGTTGAAGGTTTTTCTCCCTGAAAATTTAAAGTAGCATGCCTAAAGGTAGGAAAAAGAGGCCTTTTACAAGAGCAGTTACAACACATGCTGTAAAATGGAACTGTAATCTCTAAAATAAATCAGTGATTGCTTCCCATGTATTCTTGGTAAATGAGGGGCTCTAGAATAGTATAGTTTCACACTTTATTTTTGAGAAAATCTCCAGATTTAAGCAACAGGTCTTAATGATAAATGAAAACATTAATATTGCAGTGGATTTACATAGAACATCACATTTTTAACAATGATTGATACAGGGTACTTGCCATGCAGATCTCTTGTGTACATCAAGTAATACTTATATCAATACATATCTGTACAGTATTTACATTTTATATTTAAACTCTAGCTAGAAACATTTTCCAAGAAAATATAGAAATGAAACTGGTAAGCCACAAGTCTTAATTTGTAGCGTTTGGTCTACAACAGACCTAGCTTTTCCAGCAAGCATATCTACATAGATATGTAATAAATCTTAAAAATATGCATTGTTTTTATATATGAAGCATTATAAATGCTGCTCAGTTTACAAAGGTTCCATTTTGTACCAGTTTAAAACTGTTGAAAAAAATGTTACGTGACGTAGAGCTTATCTTGTCAGAATATTGTAAAATTTAAGTCAGTCCAGCTGAGCTTAAGTATTATATACAGTTCTCTCCCTCGATTGCACTGGCAGCGTGGCTGATGGTGGTGGCCAAATGGTTTAGGCACGGAGCGAAGCAGAAGCAGGAGCGGCTCTCGCTGGCCCCTGGAGTTGTAAAGGGCAACATTAAGAAGGACGAGCTGAAGAATTACCCGAGTTTCAGTGCAAGAGGAAGGGAGAAGTCTGTTGTCCCCAGAGGACTTTTCCTCAGCATGGCCAAACCGTCACAGGTATTGCTTTAGGCCACCGAGCAGCTACTCTTAGTAGCTACCCCTGGACTTGAAGCCCAATAAAAAAAAAAAAAAAAAGGGAAAGGTTGAGAGATTTTTTTCATCACCCTCATGGATAGTACCGGATTTGGCCAAAATTTTCACAAGCCACTTTGTTTTACTGGCCTCATGGCCAGTGGAAATTTTGGGCCAGTTTCACTCCCTGTTAATACTGTTACAAAGAACATCTGAAATCAAATATTATCACACACAAGAATGCTATTCCATTAGCTCTGGTAAATTAAATAGATATATTGAGCACCACAAATAGCTGTTTAAGATGTCGCGGTTTAATGCTAAGAAATAATATATTTCCTGCTATAATATCCTCAGTTACATGTTACTCTAAATAATTATTTCTGCTGGATATAAGAACTTCAAACTAAATACAGCAAATGAACTCTCAAGGCATTTCCTTCATGCTTATAGGCAGAAATCCTCACCTGGTTCAATAAATAGATTCTCTTGAAGGTGATATTTCAGAAGATAAGAATTGATACAAAAGTGCTTCATGGCTTATTAATGCTTCTGTAATCTCACATTTCTCCAGAAATACTTTATTTGCTGCTTTTCACCTTTACACTCATTAGTACCACTGACTCTGGCTTACCACTATTCGCACTACCAACCTCGTTGTCCAAAGCTAAACCCAATGTATGCATTGCCTGAAAACAAAACTTGTAGCTGCGGCACAGAAGGCTCAAAACAAGAGACATTAGCAGCTCTATAACCATGCTGCTTTGCAAACACAGGACATACAACTTAATTCGTTTCTCTAAAGAGTTTAAATGTGTTCCATTAAGCGAAGATGTCCCCACACTAGTACTTATTTGAGGATTCCACCTCCTTTGGTTGAGTTTTACTCCCTTGAAAGTAGTTGGAATTGAACATCCATCCAAGCAGACTGCAATGCCACACACACTGGGGGAAATCTAAGGTGTAGGAAAGTTTCCTTTGTTCTTTTCCTCTCAGCCTTTTTGGCAAACATGCAATAAAGCAAAACATTCACAAGCTGACACCCCATGCAAAACAAGGCAAATAATTAGTACGACGGGAACAATGAACCAGACTCTCCCTACAGTTAAACGGAGATTTGAAACAGTGAGTCTGTGGTCGTGCCCGTGCAGCGCATTTCCCTGTCACGTGGCCAGAGATGCTTCTGTAACTCCAACAAGCAAAATTGCTTTGACAAAGTATCAGCTCTCCAAAGCTTCTGCTGGCACAGTACACACGGCTCAGGTTCAACAAGTTTGGGAAAAACTGAGTACTAACAGATGCAGCAAGGTCCAAAAAACCGTTTTTCCCCCGTGCTGGAATTAGGGGCTTTACCTTAAGAATGGTATATGTGCTAGCAATAGAAAAGCGGTGTAGTAAAATCAGCCATTGCAGTTTACATATTACTGACAGAATATCAGTAGGACCACAGAAAGATCTTCCACAAATTAAAAAAAAAAAAAAAAAAACCCAACCACAAAATGTGCTGGGGGGGGGGCGCTTAGTTGCACTAGGTAATCCATGTGAAATATTTTATTTTTTAAGTAAAAATAAGGATGTGTCTTCATTTGTTCAATTTCAACTGCTGAAGCACAGATCTGAAAAATCGCCTTTAAGAATGCAATGAAAATACTGAACTTCTGTGTATGTCCTAAGTTTGTTACCAAGCAGAAGAATGAATCCTGCTTGCTTAACTATCTAGGGCTGTATCTTACAGAAAGATTTCACCTCCCTGTTTTTTCCCTTTAAAAACACTAAATCCGTGTGAAATTATTTGGGGGTGTTTTCACATGCAACGCCTAAACTCATGCAAGCCCTGTCATCTTACTCCTTTAGTAGTAACTTAGTGTTAATTAAACTACAACATATCTAAAACATAAGGATGTTACTATATAAAAAGCAGATTAAACCAGTCATTAAATCATACTGCTTATTATGAGCAGACAGGAATGAGTTTTGGCCTATTGGCAAATATCAAACCACATCTGTACTTAGTGTCACGGCCACAGGCTCAAACCTTTGCTGTTGGGACCTGCATATATGTCAGTGCACGTCAACCAAACGCTTTGGCACAACTAGTTAACTACATAGCTGCCAGTCTACTCCTGAGCTGCATTTCTGAAGAAGAAGAAAAGCTAGTTCCAGAAAGGTCGGAGAGCGCACCCTAAACGAAAGCTTCACTCAGCTGTTCATTTACGGCAACACACACAGGACTTGAAAACTGATACTGAGCTTGTGGGGTTCCTGCTTACAGAAAAATTAAGTGCTAGATCACGCTGTACTCCACTTTTGGTGCTGCAGGTTAGTGAGAGATGAAAGTCTTAGGATCACTCCTCCGCTGATGGGAAATGCGCTCAAGTAACAGGTATAGGGCATTTTACTCTTCACCTCGAATTCCTTCCCTCCCAACGGAAGTAAACTGGAGTTGTAACTAATGTAAGTGAAAACAAGGCTTCCATGTTTTCAGTTGAATTAAGTTCCAATATGATCGTCCTTGGGGATTTGTACTGCAAATTATATGCCAATAACTATTTACCCTGAAAGGTCTTGCCAAGTTTTTGTGTCATAGTAAAGTGTATATATATAAAATTTACAGTTACTGTCTTCATTTAGGTTCTCCAATTTTTACATTATCACTCAACTGTATGCTCATTTATAGGTTGATGCAGGTATACAAGTTGCTGATCATGTTCTATTTCTTATTTGCAATTCTTCGTTTCCTTGTTGCCAGCATATCATAAAAGGGATCCCTGCTGATACTTGCTCTAGAGGAAAAAAAAGGAATCATCAGTTTGGTTAACAAATATCTGGTTTTGAAAACTAAAAGTTATTTTGTTCTCTCTTCCCTGTGGATGACTCCACACTCTTAATAAGACAATGGATGGTTGACTTCTGAGTATCACAAATATTTCTTTAGAAAAAGATGTTATTCAGCTGTGATTTGTTAAAGAGTTCATACCTTCATCTTGACCATTATTTATTTCTTTAAGTGTAAGGTTTATAAAGCAGACCCACAAGATAAAAATCACACTGTGAAAGTTTAAAGCTGCACTGTGAACGTGCTTAAGATAGATGTCACTAAGGTTAATTATTAGGTGAAGTAAGAATCTAATAAAATTAGGGTTAAAGATGATTCACACAAGGCTTTACATTTGCTTAAAACAAAACAAAAAACCCAAAACAAAACAAAAATCCCCATTTGAGTTAGTAGCATTGTTTCCTTAGGACCAGACAGTAACGAGACTCGTGTCTTGATCCGTCAACTCTGCGTAGCTTGTCATTAATCCTAGAGGACATTGCCGCATCAGAATTCCTCAAACGAGTTAGAATACAAATTCTCTTAGCATCTTACTCTGAGAAGAGCTTACAATTTATTTCTGAAAGACATTTAAGACTTTAAACTCACTTGATAGATTTAATCCACTCTTCCTTCTCCTCTGGGGTGGGAGCAGATATCCTGTACACTACATGGTTGCCTTCCACCACTCTACCATCAGCTTCAGTTTTACACGCTTTAATTACTTGACCTTTATGACTGGGGTTATAGAGCTCAAAGCAGTTCTGGAGGGTAGAAATGAAGAAATAAATTTAAAGAACAAAACAAAACTGACAAACAGCTTCATTTAATGTTACATCTAATTTCTACATCGTTTACTTATTTTCATTTTAAAAAAAAGTTATGAAAATATCTTACTGGTTTTCTGGGGTCTTCAACTTCTCTTATGCTAAGATTTTCTAATGGAATAATTCCTCTAGGTTCTTTGTCCTTAAAAATTAGGAAAATACCACATTATTAGCCACTTAAATATCTTGATTACAAAGGAAGTTCACTGTAATATATACTCACTGTTGTGTATTCAAAGTAATACAGGCAATTATCAGTCAGAATGAACCATCTCCTTTTCCACGTTTTTACTCTTCCCCCTACAATCAAAAGGTACGGCTGAATTAAACCTGTGTTGCTGTCAAAGCTTCAACAAAGGATGACAAAGTAATTTAATTTTGTTGTTTTTCAAAATATGGCTTAATTAATCGTAAATGGATCAGGCACAGATGAGCTGAGGTTAAAGGACCACGTTACTGTAACTCTTGTACTAAGATCAAACTCCTGAGACAGCATTAACTATGGTGTTGCGGAGCAACCACAAAAACTGTACGCTCTGAAGTTGCAAATGTCTCCTCTCTTACAGAGGATGGACAGGATAGTTTAGCAGTCAGACCTGCTCCTCAGCCCATGCCATCACGGTTGTTCGCTGCATCAAAACCACTAGTAGTGCAGAGCCCTCAGAAATGCAGTCAGCGCTGCTACGGCAGAGGGAGGCCAGTCACCAGCAAAACCATAACTGGGTTCCAGCAACAGGACCGACCCTCTCCACAGCCTGTCTTGTACGAGGAAAGGGTCCCATCGATAAAATTAAGGGCGTTTTATCGCCTTCCTTTCACTCCACTCGTGAGCATATGTGTGATTAAGAACCCATCGCTACTTGCGGATTTAACGTCAAGTGCCTAAGATGCTTACCAACATTATTAGCAGAGCAAATATGATGTGTAAGAAATTAGGAGCAAATCCTATACCAAAATGTACCATTTTTAGTCACTTTTCATAATTTAGTATTTTAAAAACACATTCTCTTTATGGCTTAATATATCATTGAGTATACCGGAGAGAAGAAATAGCTACTACTCCAAAACTGCCAATTTTTCCTGCATTAACAGTTTAGACAACAGCAACCACAGAGCTCCTCTTTCTTATGCCTGCTAATGTCACACTGTAGGGAACGGTTCCTTTTAGAAACATGCATTATTGCCTCGGCCCTTTCAGCTGGTTTTCCGTTGTTGGTTACTTCAGGACATGGCTAGCATTCCACAATTACATTATTTTTAAAACCCATTTCCAGGAAAGACAATTGTAGATAAAGCAATCACGTGTTATGAATATACAGGCTTAATTCCACCATAGTTATCTGACTTCAGGATTATGTCACCACCTGTGCATCATCCATTCAGCAGTGATTTAATCTCATTAACCCAACATCTCAAAATAGTTGATCTTGCCATTGAACACTCGTGCATAAAGGAGTACCATTAATACACACAATACCTCCAACTTAATCCAAGTCATATAACTAAAATCTAAGATGTGCTTAATTTTTTAATCTTTTTGTTCTACTTGAGATAGCTGGGTTTTTATTTAATACAGAAATCCAAATCATATTAAAGAACAATTCTAGGAATATAATGAAATTTCTTGATACCAGCCTACTACGTGTTTGCATTGCAGATGAGTATGTTGCAGGTTGTATCCTCCTTTTGCTTGGTTTCATCACCTACGTGGAAACCCAGTGCTAACACGCTGCAATGTTCAATGCACTCAAACTTTGTGTTTCCACTACACACACACACACACACACACACACACATCTTAAGAAAAATTTAATCTGCAAGCAGGTGCGGTGAAATAAGAGAAGGCAAAATAGTGCAAGATGCAGAAGCCGTGACAGAATGAATGGTTGAGTGAACTGGAGACAGTGAGGGAAGAACTGGTGGCATTTTAGTACAACCACTGTGACAGATCCTTAAATAAAGCGTTGTAGAAACATTCAAACTGGCACGTAAGTCACTAGAAAAATTCCCATCACCTTGACTAAGAGCTAGTTCAAGTATCAGGAAGTATTTGGGCTAGGTATGGAAAGCTGACAAACTTTAGCTTGACTCACTTCCAGATCAATGAATAAACAGCAGCCGAGTCAAGATGACTGCCAGGGCAGTCCTTTGCCATCACCGTAACAGGGCATTTTTCATACAACCCAATGTTGGTTGCCATGGTTTTAAGTCACATCCTGCTCTCTAAAGTTAACGGGTTAGCATTGTTTAACATTCTTGTGGCACAAAAACGTCACCACGTTTTTCAGGCTAACAGGTAACATCAGCTAGCGTGAAATGTCATGGCTTGCCCAGTTCCAGCAGAACAACTCGGCAGGAGAGAGGATGAAAGAAACAGGCAAAGAGGTTACCATCACAGAGGCAGCCTAAATTGAACAAAGGTGTTTCTCAAACTGTGATATCATGTCAAAACATAATACAAAAAATCAAGTAATAACCATATATTTAAAAGAAGGCCTGCTTATAATTTAAGGTAGAAACAACAGACTTAAGACACCTCCAGGAACAATATGAAGTGTCAAATAGTAAAGGCAGGAGAGAGGATGAAAGAAACAGGCAAAGAGGTTACCATCACAGAGGCAGCCTAAATTGAACAAAGGTGTTTCTCAAACTGTGATATCATGTCAAAACATAATACAAAAAATCAAGTAATAACCATATATTTAAAAGAAGGCCTGCTTATAATTTAAGGTAGAAACAACAGACTTAAAACAGACACCTCCAGGAACAATATGAAGTGTCGAATAGTAAATGACAGCTGAGTTTGCTGAAGTTTTTCCTGACAACATCCTTTCTCTTTGGAAAAGCCAGATTTCTCAAGCCTGGAACTTTTTGTAATCGTGCTGCAGCTTTGATGAAGCTTTGTCATGAAACATTTCCCAGCTCCAGGACAGTACTGATGTTGAAGCCAGAAAGACGATTACGTATCTCCAACAACATCCCTCTTGCTGCTCCCTTCTCCCTAAACCAGCCAGTAGCTCACCGGGTTACAGCACTCCTGCGAGACGCAGGAATAGACCCCAAGTCCCTGCTCCACCAAGCTATGAGTTACTCTTCTCTTCCAAGAAAAAGCAGCAAGGATAAGGAGCTATTCTCACATACAAGTCTCTGTCTCCCCACCCCATTACTCAGTTGCAGCTGTCAACAGCACAGAAACTCTAATAAAGCTCGAAAGGCAATCTAATCTACTCCTCGAGTTTGCAGGGGTCACCATATAACATGCATTTAATATGCCTTTGCAATGGGCTAAAACCCAAGAAGCCGGTTGATAAGGCTTTGCGGCCCGTAAACACGGCATGCGAGATTAATGGGTAAGGACTTGTGATAACAAAACATTCTTTTCCTTGGCAGAGATTGCTATAGGCCCACAAAACAGCAACAAAGGGGTTTAGTATCATACTTCATACCTTATGCCAGCTCCCAGCCTTTTAAAGATTAAAACTGGAAGGGATTAAGTTAGCAGAAGAGGATCAAGAAAATCATAGTATGAATCCATAAACATTTACAGAAACTGAGAGATGTAAGTGATGTGCTTCTCAAAGATCTACCTGATTAACTAAAATGTAAAGACATCTCCAACAACAAAATAAAGAAGCACAATACCTTGTAGGCAGAAATCTAAGGAAACTACAAGAAGCCGCCACAACAGGGCAAAATGTACACAAAGAGGAATAGAAACCCTCTTCACCTCTGTAACCCAGATAGGATTTTATTTTATTTTTTAACTCTGGGCAAAGTACAAACTAGAGAACAAGGTAAAAGAAGCCACTTGTACTAAAGGAAAAAACAATTGGCAATGACTTCGCAAACACCAAATTCAAAATTTAAAAAGGCCGTAAGACTAAAGGCAGTAACGTATCTAAAAAGTTAGAAAACTCTACCCAAATGTTCAGCACGTTTATATAAAGTTTTAGAGGGGAAAGAGAGACACGCACACATCAAAAATGTTTTTTCCTTCTCAGTCCATTTAGATATCACTAGGCGTAACGGACTCAGAAATTTACAGCTACACAGATGATTGGATCAAAGTTTGGGTTTCTTTGAAAAAGAAGTTTACCTTAACCCCACCGTTAACTTCCTCAACCTAGAAAAGCACCAGTTACCACAAGCAACTGGCCAGATAGGTATCGGAAGGCACCGGTTTCCTGACCAACCACCGCTATTCTCTCGCCCCGGATTAGGGAAGAGAAAGGACATCCTCTCAAGGACAGATCCATTGGGATAAGCACCGCTGGCGGGCCCGGATGCGAAGCTTTTGGACAGTCTCTAAGCTCTCAGTAACTGCCTGACTGGCAGAAAAAATTAACATGATCATGTGTCTGGCTTGAATCATTTCCTCTCCAGTTTGGTGGAATAATGTCACAGTTTCCCTCTAATTAGAAGAAAATATTACGCAAACCAAGCTGGTGTAGGCAAGGAAACGCCTCCCTGTGCAAAACGATTGTAACTTGGGCAGTAGGACAGAGAGCACAGACAACAATTTCAAAATACCTTAAAATAGATGGCAGAAAATTTCATGGTACCAACATCACTAATAATTACAATGTAGAAAAATCTAAAAGCTCATAATGTCTCAAGCTGCTCTAAGCAAGGATTCATTAGTGCTCAGCAGCTTTCAGTTTTTTACTTGTAGCATTCATTTTCATTACACCATGCTTCAAACGATGTAGAACTGAATGATAATTCAGGTTTACCAAGATAAAGATGTCTATATAAAGGCACCAGCTGAGTCTAGACAGATAAAACCAGAACTGCTGTCTGGCTGCCAGGTTTGGCACTCGGACTTGCACAAAGTCACCTCTGAACAATTCAGAGCAGCAAACTCTCCAAAAGCATTTTGCACCCTCCCAGCTTTCTAAAATCCAGCTTTCTAAAACCCAATGCCAGGCTGGAGAACTACGGTACTCTTTAGGACAGGTGAATTTTACAATATACAAAAGGTTCACCATATCCATCTCCTGCCCAGAGGATAATCAATACGGTGAGCTGGAATACTAAAAAGAGGGGCACAAGTAGATAAATGGGAAGAGTTGACTGTAAGAAATACCAAATACAAAACACTGTCTTGATATACTCAGGGTCTGAGAGTTGCCTTAGTCATATTTATAGTTTTATACAAAACTTTCTGTTTCAGCCTTTAAGTAGTATCACAACTGAGCACTTAAACTCTCACGCAGGAAGAGAGCCTCCTTAGCATTTCAGCAACACCAAAACTTTTAATATCAGCATCTTCCAGAACTGAAGGAAACCTTACCCATTTCACAAGCAGTGTTTCCCAACAGAAAGGACTGTAAAAATGCAAACAATGTGGAGCAAGACAGCACTCTCAATGGACAGTTTAAGCCTCCTAGCAAATACGAAACTCAAGGGAGAGCAAAGAAAGAAAACAAAAAAAAAAGATTGCCAGGTTTATTTCTGGTCAACGCATCTGAACTAGCAAAATGTGTTTGTCTGTTCCAGTCCGTGTCTGCTGAAAAAAATGCAGTCTTTCATGGAAGCGCAGCTTCACGCATTTACAGGCTGATTCACCGGAGGCTACTGGACATGTTTCATTTCTTTATTCAAACAACCCTCACGCTGTGGGAGTGTTACTTGCAACACCCTTCCGTTTCACACACATTTTTACTACTGGGTTTTCTGCTCACTGTCTCTCATCTGCATTGTACGCAATGAAACGCTGGGTTTATTGACCCTGTGCCAGAGCCAGAGTCGGACTGTGTAGAAGTATCTGGCCGCTCTCACTGACCTTCCGCCACCCTTTTTCTTCAATTTCTTTGTTCGTCTATTTTTTATTAGATCTCTTATGTGTCTTTTACTGACAGTTCCTTCCACAAGGGATGTTGTCAGTCCTCTACACACACTCACGCTCTTGCTTGCACTCTCAGTATATGAGAGCACACTGGCAACAGAAAGGTGCACAGCATGGGCTTATACCCAACCTCTTCTCCAGAAAGGACATTTTATCTACATCATCTTGAAAGCCTCTTCTGTTCAGATAGCCATTGTCTCATGCTACATAATGGAGAAAAGCTGCAAAGTCATCTTTGAAATTGTGCCAGCGGAGCCAATGCACATCAAAAAGCAAGAGCTTTGCTTTTTGTAGTTAGACAAAGAGCTCTATAGCATCTGTAGCGCAGAGGTCAAAATAAGACATTGGAGAGCACATGAATGAATTCCAAATGCTTCCCTTTCACATCTATTTCTTTCCAGCACTAGCGTGACCACTAATTTCCAGGTGCAATCAGTAGAGCGGGCCCATGGCTCTAACCAGGCTCTACTTTCACCATACTCACCTCCACGGGCACCCCCCAGCACACATCCCTTTTCACACTTGAGTCACCATTCTCCAAGTGCAAAGTTCCCTCTACTTTAACAAGCAGTTACACATTAAAGTGGCCAACAACTGGCTCTATTGGAGCATGTACTGGTGTTTTATGTATTAAAAAAAAAAGGTTGATTTCATTGAAAAACAAATGTTGAAATAAAATTTCAGTCTCCTTTATATAGTAAATAAATTCCCTAAGCCCAAGTGAAAAAGTGAATCCCATCAGTTTTAAAAGCCTGTACACAAGGGTATCTTGCAGTGCCAGGAGACTGCAAATTAACACAGGTTTCCACAATCCTACATTCGGTGCTCATTTAAGATGCAGTTAAGTAAGCTAAATATAATACTTACAAAAGAAAATACGCAGGGAAAAGAACAGCTTTTATAAATGCATGGTTCAAATGTAATCAATCTTTCAATAATCTAATCTAATTGATGCAAGTAACAAAATCACTCTGGAACTTCATTACAAGAGTAAGACAACGTTCTCTCTCAGTAGAAATTATTTTTCCCTTGTTATGTGCTTCAATGAAGAAGAAAATTATACTGAATAGTCATCTTTACTTTTCCGCTTTACATTTAAACACTTTCTTCTTTTGCAGAAGACACTTGCATGTGAGCTAGACACTGACATGCCAGTCTTTCAGAGTACCACTGATGATACTGTTAGTGACACTGAGTGAAAAAGCAAAATGCTACAATAAATTTGATTGGAAAAAAAAAAAGAAAAAAAAAGAAAAAAAACCAGGAGGAAGGAGGAAGAAAACAAAAGAATGAGCAACTGAAGAAGAGGGGACTGGAAAGCAATCAGATACGTACCTCCTAATGCAGAATAAGCAGAGACAGCCAGTCACAGAACAGAAAGGTGATAGGTCATAGGCCATAAGGAAAACAAGAAGGCACATTTAAACCACTCATTAAAAAATCATAGCCAAAACCAAACCAAGAGAAACTCACAAATAATATGGAAAAATAAAGACATACAAAAATAACTATTTGAAGAGAAATCCTTCTTCTGTACACAGAAAACTGAGCTGAAATATCACACAGTTTTCTGAAACCATCTTATGGAGACTTAGTTGTTGTTTATCAGTCACAGCATGTGGTAAATACCATATGGAGTTTCCTTTTTGTCGCTGATTTCTCACATGTCAGAAATAAAACTCCAAAGTTTGAAACAACACTGTTAATTTGGATACGCAAAATAAGAAGTAACAACCTTCAGATGTAAAGGAGTTACTTATTTTTGGTTCATACATTTTTAAATACAAATTACAAAGTTAATCCTATTACCTTCACAAGAAAGCAGATAAGACACAGAAGCAGCAAACATGCTAACAACAAACAAACATATAGCAGCAAAACTGCCCTTATAACTAACCTAATTTCAGCAGCCAACCTTCTCTATCTGGATTAAAAAATGTATGCGTTAGATCATTTCCATCATCCTCTGGAATTTTAAACGGCTCATTCTTAATACTTTCATATAAATTCTAGAAGAATAAAAAAAGAGGAAAAAGACCTCATTAATAAATGTCTAACAGAAAGTGCAACCAGGACATCTTACTCCTTCTCAGATTATTTGTGTAAAAAGCATAGGAAATACTGTCCCTAAAATTCTGGACCATCCCTTCTCCATCTTTGTTTACTACTTAATGATTAAGTTTAATTTTAAACTAATTCATCCATAAACAAGTGTCTCTTTTTACAGACTTTACAAGTATTCCTAGCAAAGACATTTTTTCTTTAACTTCAGCATTCACTATTTCCACGGTTTCAGCTTCAGGTCTAATTTAGTAGAAGTTTTGCCAAATGAATCTGGGGTTTCAGAAAATGGTTTAGACCATCACGCTGTTTTAGAGAAATAAGTATTTTTACTGATATCTCAAGGGACGGGAGGAAGCTCCACAAGACACATGGAAAGAAATAGAGGCAATAACAAAACAATGATTTTTGCTCTTTTTTTTCTGGCTTTCTCTGACTTATCCAGAAATACTACATTTTTCCTAAGAAGTCAATTCCACAAGAATTTTGCCATCGGTAAACTACTGAGAGACATACGGAGTGTTTTTGCTGGAATCTCCTCTCCTCAACAAAAGATTCAATACAGGGAGAACTAGCTTAAAGCAGCTGTGAGTATCAGAAAATGCTTCTTTCGGCTACTCAAATGGTTATGCATGCTAGAAAATGATGTTCTTACTTTCCCTTGACAAATTTGCCTGAGAACTGTTGTACACACTTCTAAGTTTCCTACTAAAAGCACAAAGCAATGCCTTGTCTTACCCAGTCTAACTTACCCGTAGTAATTCTTCTGGAAGGTCTCCACCTTCATTAATTCCACGATTCATAGAAATAAACCTCTCCACTGTTGGTTTATCTCTTACATTGTGGTTGTGCAGACTGGTATTTAACATAATGATCGCAAATGAAAGCACATAGCATGTATCTAAAATAAGATTTGAAAAAAACATTTAATTTGAAAAATTATCTGTCTTGTGGCACAAACCTGTAAAATGAGTATATACAGCTCATCCTGACTGATAAAGAAAAAGAAACAGGTAGTCAAAAAATCCTGAATACTATACACGAAAGCAAAGTCTTAAATCTCTCTTTAAACTGTTGAAGTAAGCCTAAGAAAAAAAATACATAACAATTCAAATTAAAAGCCAGTATGAGAAAAACAGTACAAGAGAATAAAAAAAAATATTTTAACTCTTTGAAATCATTGCTATCACTTTAAATTAGCATTTCACTTGAAACACTGAAGTGTTCTTGGGCAAAACATTCTCTGAACACAGATCTTGCCTAGATCACATTGGCAGCGCCTATAATAGACTTGGTCAATCAGACTTCTACTCAAAGTACTTCCAACATTTTCTCCAAAGAGAAGAAACAGTCTCTCCAAAACAATACTTGAACTGCATTTAAACAGGCTAAAAAATGACATTGATTCAATGTCTTGGCATACACGGGGTGGCTAGCACAACTGAATAATATTAAAAGATCACAAAGGAGATCTTATGTCTCTTGACATGGTTAGGATTATGGTAAATTCTCCCAGAATTCAAATACAACATAATGTGTAAGAAAAAGCAGGATGGAAATCTCTCTGCTACACAGAGGAAAAATGTGTTTGCATCTTCAGCATTTTGTTTTCAATAAGTATTTTCCTCTCTACCTGTTGCAGACTTGCTTTACATTAACCTTTTCCTAGCCTATTTGTTCCTCAATCTAAGCAACCAACAGCAAGTCACGTGTGTATATAACCAAACAGACCTACAATGCCAGAACGCTAGGGTGTTCTGTGCAATACCACAAAGGTTTGTTAGCTTTTATGACTTGAGTAATTCTAAACCAAGCAATTCAATGGAGAGCTGAGATAAACTATTGCTGAACAGCCTGCTGAAGAGAAAGGATACAGTCCCCATAACAAAGATGGATGCCTTTCTAGATAATACACTATAGCCACGTATAGCCAAGTGGACTTGATACAGAGATAATCAGGATAAAGTCCTTATAACTGACAGATGAGACTACCCAACCTATTGGTCTCTTCCGCCTTTAAGTCCCCGAGAACCTTACTTTTCCAATTCACCATTTTTTGGTGACATTTCTAAAGTGTGTTTCGTACTTTAATTGGCTTAGACATATATTAATACTTAAGTTTTAATAATGGGAATGCATTCTGATTATAATCTTGCACCTCCCGGAAACAGAGTGTAGGACAGGACAACTGCATTTTCTCAGTTCTCAGAATTTTCTCATTTCACATACTATTTTATTTGGAATTTCAAAACAGCCCACCATCTCCTTCATCAGATGTAGGAGAACATATATGATCCAAAAAAGTATATAAAGTATATACACACACTTGAGAGCTCCTATTGTTTCCTGTGACTAACCTGTAGACTGGAAGACTCCTGGGTTACAAAGGCAATAGCGTGAAGCGAAAGCTTCCATCATACGATCAATTTTTTGAGCCTCTCCTGGGAGTCTGAAGCTCCACAGAAACTGCCTACAGAAGGGAAGAATAGCTGTTAGACTCATACCGGTATTTATATACTACGCATATATTACTAATAATCAGAAACAAACAAACACAAATCACCAATGTCTATATAAAACGTCCTAGAAGTATGTTCTCAATCTCTCAACACACAAGTCAGGAGCTATTATAAAGCAACATGCACAGATGGCTAGCCCAGTAATTCAGCCAGCAACACTGCATGCTATCAGGCAAGATAATATGGCAGTTCATATTCTGAGACTCTCTCCTTTTTCCAGACTAGTAAATAATTTTCTGTATGCATCCCATTTTTGCCATGAGAATGCTCTGGGGAAACAATCAGTTCAATCATCCCTGGGTTTCCTGGCTACTAAAAGCAATAAACACTGAACTAGACTTTACTTACAATGTAAAAAGACGTATTACATAAAGTATTAGGGAAACAAGGAATACAAAAACACTTAACATCTTTACTTGAACTCACTGAAAACATTTAAAAAATAGTAACAGCAAGAAAACCCCCAGCGCTTGGAGAAGTGCTGCCTGTCTAGTGTAAATTCACCCTACAAGAATCAGGCCCAGATGTTAAAAAGAAAGACTCATGATATCACCTCAGTAGTTTTGTAATATATGCAGGAGGGCTGTGCTCCTGTTTAGCAGCATGAACTGAAATACAGTTTTTACGTTTTTACATTCATAACTTACTATTTCTACATATAGGTACACTGGAATGCATACAGGACGGAAGTCTTCACAAATTCACTTTTGGCATACTGTGGCGCAAAAAAGCTCCAATGAATTTAATCACTTATCCTTTTCTTTCTTAGCAAAAGAAATATCTAAATTAAACCAGGATCTAAATCAGCAAAGTTACATGCTCTGCCATGCAAAACGAGTTCTCGATATTCCCTGTACACCAGGTGCCAATATAACAACGATTTATTCCTGTCTTCATCAGTATTCATTTTAGAACATCGTATTAAAGTGTCACAGGCCATCTTTAGTTTGTCAGCTCTATATACTGTCTTTTACTCACCTCGTGCAAGGTTCCAACCCAGATCACGAATTTTGTAAGCTACCAAAATACAAACATTTAATAGTAGCAGCTGCTTAGAAAGAATAAAGTCAAACCTAACGTTAATTTGGGTAAAAGAGATAGGAATATGAAGCCTCCCAGACAAGCTTCAGCAGCCACAGAAAAGGCTTCCTTAGCTGAAGCCTCAGGCAGCTCAAGTTATCATCACCACACCACTCAACCATAGCAAAGCTGTTCTGACTCCACATCACAAGGCACTGCACCAGAGACAAAGAGCACACGGACATTTCAATTTATCTGGTGTCAGGAGGGAGTCACTTGTGGCAACGAAACTGGCAGAACTGTCTAACTCAACGTAACTTGCTAGATCTATTATGGATCTCTACCAGGACAAGAAGGGACTCCACTCCACAAGGTCACTGTATGCTGGCATCCCAGAGCAATCAAGTAAACTGTACGCTCAAAGGAAAAAAAGTATAGTAAGATATTACACTTTCTTTCACATGACAAGTGGGAAACTGAGGAAAGTAGAAGGAAATTACTCGATTCAAAGTTTACCTCCCTGTAATTGAACACAATCACTGATTACAGTCCGCAGGATTCCCCTCCTCCCTGCCCAGAGGAACAAGTTAAGGTGGAAGGAAAAGAGAAAGAAGACGGCAGCAAAGAAAATTATTTATTTGCTGGGGTTAGGGGGTTGTTTGTTTTCTCCCTATCATTGTGCTAAGATAGAAAACAGATCTTCAAATGTCCACATATGGCAGGCACACCAAAGGGTTATGGCTGTTTTAGTTGTTTGTATTTGACTGAAATAAAAGTTTTCACCTTCAAAGGCAGCACACACACAAGCAATGCGAAGGGTTAAACCAGAGCTGTCTCTGCTAACCTGCACAGTGACACGCACATCGTGCTGAGCTGTAGATCAGCTTTCTGACAAATAACACGGTGACTCATATGAACGTGCAATTCGATAAAGGAAGCTCAGGTCAGAAAAAAGACAGACTTTACTCACCTCAAGGCTTGTACAAGATTGAGATCAGCGAACTCATGGAGTTCAACAAAAGCCTGAAGAACTTTAATATTAAATTCATCTCTATGGAAGACAAAAATGGAAATAGACAATTACAGTTCTGAACTTTAAAGGCTTGTTAGTTATCTCTATTTGCTTCTGAGAATAAGGAAATAAATTATTATACTGATCAAGCCATCAGAAATTGTTTACACATTTGAGAGGTGTTTTAATATTTAACGCTAATATTTTGCCCATTTTTGCTTGCATTAAAAAAGTACGTTAGCAAGAACAAGTACACTTGAACTGATTTTAGCAATGCTTATTTAAATGACCCAAAAATGGTCTGGCCTTTTTTGCTTCACAGTTATTATTACTGCACCTGCCTTGATATGGGATGATACCCGATAAATTTATCCAGTAAAAAGTCTTTCGCAGAAATTGTGATCAACTCTTAAAAAATGGTTAATGTAAGATTAATCTCTTTAGCCATACAACACATGAAAAACAAACTATCCTACTTTTTTCCTCTAAGAACAGAAAATATTAAAGTAGTGTATTAATTTATGTACAAAGATGAGGAACAGAAATGCTTCAACTGATTGTACCTAAGAAAAAGAGCAGCTTTTTAAAAAAGCCACTTAGTATGTACTATATTCTTATTCCATTCTCAAAAATTGTTACAATGAACGTTTACTGAAATCAGAATAGGTTTTGAACTGGCTTCCTCTCACCTACCTTTTCTATTGCTACATAAATCATGAGCTAAATTATGCTTTGTTTGATACAAAGGTGTTTAAATGCAAAAGTAACACTTAAACATTAATGAACACGAAACTATTTGGATGCAGACAGAACTTAGTCTACACCATCACTGAGTTCATATGCCAGTAGCGTAAAGGTTTATAATCCTCAGGGTGTGCTTTAAATACATCATCGAGACAGAATGTTGCGTATCAGCCTCCACCCGAAAATAGAAAGGTGTGCACCCACCAAGAATTATCTGTTGCATTACTGACCAACTGCATAGTCAGACTAACCTGTAACACTCATGAGTAAATACCTTAAAATGAACTATACATTCATTAGGACATCCCCATATTGTTTACAGAAAAACACATCAGCTCTGTCAAGCAAAACGAAGCAATTCTCATCAAATTTAGTGATGCACGATTCAACTGCATGACTACTTTCCAGTGCAGTGAAACAAAGTGGCATGATAGTATAATAAAAGAGAGCACTCAATGGGGGTACTCTGTATTGAATTGCATATTTATCTGTATACATGCTCAATATTGAGAAAGGTTGCCCTGTATTTTCAGATTGGACCACAGTGCTGCCCAGCAGCATCCATGCTAAGGATGCAAAAGAATGAGCAATAGTTTGGGTTTATTTTAAATATGAACCCATATATAACCACACAAATATTATTGATGATTCCACTGGGCCTGGATATATTGGCAAGACCTTTCTGTATGAGTACAGGGGTTTTAGGTATAGGGCTAGAAAAACTGGAAATATTTCAGAAGACAATACCAAGGTAGAACGCAGCTCTCAAAAAATGAACACAGACTGCTTTATACAAGCTTTGTTACAGTTTTTCAGTTATGGACATTAACATGTAAGTGATTTTATAATACTGATTACCCAAATATTCAAGAGAAGCAACATAATGCTGTCGTATAAAAATTGTTGAAATGTCTACAAATACTGCACAGAAACTTCATAGCAAAGATCTCTTCTCAAAATACACATATTTTAATAGGTTTAATGAAAGTGTTTATTGAAGTCAGGAGGAAATTGCTGAGCACAAACTAAGCCATTGATGCTGTAAACAGATTACGGGTGCCTCAAAAGGGATCTGCCAGAACATATCGCTACAGGAGCATATCCTAAATGAGTCAACTTCCCAACCTCTGTAACTGGCACCTGAGCTGGAACATGTGCAAGCACGTAGAGACTCATACTCCGACCCACTCTTCACTCCTGTCTCTTTCTGCTGCCTTTTTCAAAATCAATTCCTGGGTTGCACAGCAATGGAAGTAATTTGCGTTTTGATTGTGTTTTGCAATAGTACGCATAAATACGCGTGTTGCGTGTTTATTGTACTAGGACTGATAAAGATACGGTGTGGCTGCCCTTTGAGACGCCTACTTACTTATGGGAAGTCTGTGTGCAGGGAAGAAGACAACACCGAAACCTGCGTGTAACTATTGTCCCAGGAACTACTCATTTTAACAAGTAATTTCTTTACCATCCAATTATTAGTGATTGTAAGTCACTCCTTGTCTGGGCACAGTATCAAGAGTTACCGGAACTGTTGCAATACAACTCTCAGACATTCCAAAAGCTTACGGTATTAAATTCTGCACTATAGCCAAATTAAGGGTATTTTCTCAAAATAGTAAGGTACAATGAAATTAATGTTACTCCACAACGTACCCATTTAAAAAGAACAACCTAACAGAAAAAAAACCCTTTCACAACACCATAGTAGTTTTACTTCCTGCTGTAGCTTTTATAGATCCCAGAGTAGTAGAGCAGCGCTCTCATGCAGCCTGTGAAGGGGAAGGTAACTACCAAAATCCCTAAGTATACTTTGTAAACTCGAGAACAAAGTTTCAATAATTTCATTTTACCTTTCACCGAGGTAATCTCCAATTACCGTTTTATTTAATCCTTCTCCTTTATAAAGGAACTGTGCAATGTCTTCTGCAGTGTTCTGCAGGAGGTCATTTTCTATGAGAAACTGTATTCCCTAGGAAGAGCAATTCCAGAGGAAAAGGAATGTTATGGGTTTTTTCCACAAGCATTTATGTAAATACCACTCATAACATTTGGTATTAATATACTGACACAGACATATACATAGCACATTAAGAATTACATTAGCCTACAGATAATTTTTTTTAATGAAATGGTAAACAAATGTTTTTCAGTTAGATAGGCAATGTTTAGTACTGGTTTAAAGATTAGAATGAGAACATGTTTTTAAGGCTGGAAGTACTAGGTGGCAGTTTGAATCCATCAACAATAGAAATATCAAATTTTAATTGAATAATGATTCCATGTTGCTCTTTGGAGTTAATGTGTGAGTTAGCCTGTTCACGATATTGCATAAATGTCTCCAGAGACATAATCTGTAAAATCATATAATGAAGAGCTACGTAGGAATAACTTAATTACCACTGTGACACAAAATAAAACATCTGTTATAACCTACAAACTGCAGCCCAATACATCAAGCCACTACTTGCAGTGGAAGTCCCGGCTGAAGATACTGAAACCGGTTTAAAAGAGTTTATGCTGACACTGGGATTATCGGTGACTGCTGGTTGTGCTGGAACTAAACTATTCACAAAGGACTTGAACTAGACTATTCACAAAGGACTGTTCAGGAACCAGTCAAGCTTCTACCACGGAGCTTCTATCAAAGCCAGGAGGAGAGTCTTACCCTGTCCCTCAGTGGGCACTTGATCAAGCCCCTGGACTCCTATGCCTCCATACATTACTGGCCCTATAACTGGCACACTCTAGGGATGGCCAGAGAACTTTCTGCAAAGCAGTAAAGAAAGGAGACTAAGAGTTATATGAAGATTACGTAAAGGACGGAAGGGATGTTATTCCAACGCTCAGCAGGTCATGAAGATATAGCTCTTTTCTCCCCCCACCACACACCCCAACAAAGACGAAAGGAAGTAGGAGTGGCAGCTGTAAGTAACCTTCATGTCTTGGATTTCAAATATGTACAGAAGAGCTTAATAAATTATTCCAAATCTTTCCTACTAGAATAATTCATAATTTCAGAAATATCAGAAGTTTTTCAATTTCTGCAAGTGGAATATATTTCTTTTTTATTTCATTACAACTGGGAAAGCTTCCATTATTTTTTGATATAGCATAGGAGGCCCTGCAGTAACATTCAAAAAAATAATTATCCTTCTGTTTGGTTGATTCTGTTCTTTTTATAATGAAATGATTACCTGCCTGGCAAAAAAAAAAAAAAAAAAAGTCCATTTTCTGACCTAATTTAACAAAGAAAATGAACTGTGATGTTATAAGGCTCAAAGATTTTTTTTAAAAGTCTGGAATGCAATTCTCTCAAAACAATTTTATCATCATCTGAAAACAATTTCAATGACAGGCTGGTATTCTGACTCTGACAACTTAATATAAGTCACTTCAGAACAGACATGGTTTTGTTGCAAAAAATATATCTGTTTTAGCTTGAAGCAGAAATAGCTGGGCTTTTCTCAAAAATGATCCCTTCAAATCTTATTTGATAACTATTTGTACAAAAAATTCATTTGACTATGAAACATAATGTTTTCTCCCATACCAAGTTATTCAAAAAGCTTTCTCAGCTCTGTCAAACAGCAGAGAACCTTCCTTCTAACAAACATCAGAAACAGCAGTTGCAGATTCCCTTCTTCAACACCTGGACCAGATTATTCATGCTTAGTGTAAACAGACTGACCAAAACAGACTGACCAGAATTGTTTTTTAAAGTTGTACGAGTTACTGAAAAAGATAATGGACACGACTAGAATTTCTGTGCACAGAAGCAGATACTTTAACATACTACAAAAATCAATTTAATTTTCCTTTTTCTGGATATTTTTGTCCTTTTTAAATTATTTTTAAGATGTTGAAGAACCAGAAGTCAAATAGACAGGAAAAGGAATTTGTCTGAGACAACAACTCCAGCGTCTGGAATAAGTGGTAAAATAGGTCAGCCAAATCCCCATCAACTCCTACACTATCTTTTGTCTCGATGCAAATTTTCTTTCTGTAGACTGACAGGAGATGGAAGACAGCTGTACTAGTTTGACCTCCCCACACAAAATTCACAGCTACAGAAGTATTCAATATTCACTACAAATATTGCATAGACTTCTTTTAAAGTCAGCGCAATGAAATCTGCTTTGAATTTCATAGCTTTTACAATAACTTAACTACAAATTTTGCAGTTATTTAAACCCTGCCTTTGTCATAGAGAATTCATTTTCTGGACCCAGCACAGGCAGTACTGACTTCCAGTGCTAAGAATCTCAAGCACAGCTTTAAGTCCTCCGCACAGGGATTCCTGAAGTGTTTTACAAACTTTACCATTACAGCCCTTCCCACGGTAGCTAACTGAATCCAAACAGCAACGTATGCGATATAACATCACGTAATGGCATTAAACACAGCTATTTGGAATGAGGATTTCCTGTGTGGGGCAGGGAGAATTGCTCTACATACATGCTAGAACATGTAAAGGTCTTCAAATAAAGAAAATCACCTCACTGTGTTCCTGCTAATATGAAAACATTACGTCTCTGTTATTTGGTTTTAAAGAAGAAAACTTGGGGGTTTCAGTGCACATATTATTACGTTCTTTCACATACCTAACTCCAGAGACCATCTTCCTTCCCACTTATGAAAGAAAAACATCCTTTTCACAGTGACCCCAAGTTAATTCTCTCAACATTAGAAGGACGTATATTTTAGCTGCCCGTAATTTAAAGTAGCAGCTGCAAACAAGATGATCTAGCTTTAAAGCAGCCAGCTACTGCAGGCCACCACTGATTCATAGACATTATTAAGAAATTACTACTGTAAGTCTGTTTACCACATTTAAATTATGTTACAGTAGCAATGCGGCTACAGCATCTATTTATAGAAACAATTTCACCCAACAAGAACAGTAACAAAAAATAGTTAACATTGGAATGAAAGCATCTGACATCATCCTGTGACTTTGCCACAAACTTCTGGGATGTGAAAGAGCTGGAGGACAACAGCAAACTATGAGAGTATTTGGGGGTATTCTGCCTTCAACAGAAATGAAGTTAGACAGTCACCAAAATGGAAAATAAAAGACATCGTCAGTAGATTAAAAAGTGTTCTACAGCTCAGAGTGCTTGAGTGCTTCTGGTAAATTGAAAACAGCCTGAAAAACAGCAGCCATCACTGTACTTGGAACATTGCAGAAAACATTGCAGACAAGCCACCAAAATGGAACCGAATTCAGTACAATTGGAAAGAAAACATGTCAAGGACAAACACAGAAAAAACAAATGCTAAACAATTTCCAAAAGACCTTAAAGAAGACTCTTCACAAATTCAAAATGGAATCTCAATTAGAAACAACAGAAGGCAGTAAAGCAAAGCAAGGAAGATGTAAAATGAAAAGTGAGGCTAAAGGTCAAATACGTCAAAGTGGCTCTTTTAAATATAATCAGGGGAGGTCTGTAAGAGAATCTGCAGGTCCCTGAATTTTCCAGAAAATTAACAATTATTTAAGAAAAATAGAGGCACTCTAGAGAACTTAACTATACTGCTTGACTAAATGCATGGTGGACTTCTTATGGCCTCACTAATAACCAAAACTTCAAAATATTTTTAGAATCATATTGGACATATCAACATAGAATACCTCTATCAGGTACAAATAATCTTTCTGCACGTCAGCTCGGTCAATATCTGGCATATTTGACTGTTGATAAATAACCTCCATTATCAAAAAAGGTTTAAGTGAAAAAAGCACACGTGACTTGCAAATGATTAGATGACTGCTTCTAATTTAACCCTCTGCTCAGTGTGTTACAGGATACACAAATAAAGCCTGTGAACTTATCTTATCAGAAACGTTTTATTAAGAAAATACGACTGTATTTGTCATAGATCATATTACAAGCAGGAACTTGATTCCTGACAAGTGGGGAAAAAATTCTCTACCTTCTTAGGGTCCATGTTGAATTTCTTCCTTCCCATGGCTATTTGCTTACTTCTTTGTGTAGTTTTGCTACACATGGAGAAAAAGAAAGAACAAGCAGTTATCAGTTGCTCTTTTACAAAAACAACAACTTCTGGATGAGCTTCTTTTAATTTGTGTTTTGGCTACTTTGTATTTTCTATTACAAAAACAAGATATTCACTTTTTATGGGGGGGGGGGGAAATTATGTTACTATTTTCAATTCCTGCAAGTGACTGCAGCTTCAGAGAACTGTATCATTATCAATAGGACAGTCTAAAATACTACATTCTATCCAACATATTCTCTATGCAAAAGAATGACACACCCAAACAGGATGAAGTCAGGCTTTAAAGACTTTATAACAGACTGAATAAAGGTGATCCTATGTTTGTTTACCATGATAAAGCTATTTTTATTTTCTATTCCTGGAAGACCTGTTCCAAGGTCTTATTGAATCACGTCCATACGTTAGCATTACTTACCTTTCTTCTACACTAGTCAGATTATCAATTTCTGTCATAACCTCAGCAATTTCAAATTTTAATCTCTGCCAAAAGAAGGAAGAACAATATGTAAATCTACATTAAAACACTTTTTGAAATCATCTACCATATATTATTATGACCAATTGGGTTTTATTTTCTAATATGCTAATATTTGCTAGTCACCTAAAGAAAAGTGATGAACCTTATGGCTTTCTTAGATATTTAGCTTAAAGATTTTACCACAACTGAATGACTGTTAAACACATGGACCTGAACTCCCAGTGCACGCCCATGTCAGAGCATCAAGACCAAATTGCCATTACCAATTTCAGTATAAGATTTCTTTATTCAGATTTCTCACTCACTCCTATCCTGTATGCAAATCTGCTGTTTAGTAAGTTCTTAATTACACAAATCAAATGTGTACACGTGCACATATTGCATTACATAAATACCGAAGTTACCATTTTTGAAAGCACACAAACGATGCATAAATCCTGTTCACTATTAGCAATATTTAACTTAAGCCATTTATATGCTTTTAAAACCTAGATGCACAGTTTACTGTAACTTAATCCACTGAAGCAGTCTTCTAAGAATCTTTACAGATAAATCAATTACCTCAATATCATCAATCAGTTCTTTTTTCCTGCGACGAATATTTAAAAGCTCTTCTCTTTCTTCTAGGGAGAGGTCATCAGGCACTGGAACAGACCAAAATATACAGTCTTTTAGCATTCACAAACATACCTCATCACAGAAAACTAAAATAAACCTGATTAAGAAAAGTAAGTTTACATGAAACATCAGGGCTTTTAGTTTTGGGGTTTTTTTTTGTAGCTAGGATCATTTTCAGAAAATAAAACACAACCAAAACCCAAACCTAATTTATTGAATTCTACTTTATAAAATCATAAGTAAGGTAATTAAATGAATGACTATGGATAGAATCTGTCTTTCAAAAGAAACCTAGACAATCAAAGGAAACTTGTTACTATATAACATTGGGTAAGATTCAGCTCTATGGCTTAACTGCCAAATTCAAGTCTGATACCATTCCAATTATTTCAGTAACAGAACAAAATTCTGCATGTAAATGAATTATGATTCAAAAAACATGACTATCTTTCAGGGAAAAAAGTCAAAGAATGGCCAAAGCTATATACAGGACGTATCCTGGTGCTGGTTTCAGATAACATCATAATTTTAGCAGTACCCCTTCATTTGGTTGCTTTGCAGATCAGAGATGTAGGTAAGTACAATACTACCAATATCCTTAACAGCAAATACTTTCCATCAGTAGGATATACAAATAAATATACAGGCAGAATCAGTTATTTAACACAGTGTATCACAAACTTATGTTTTACATAACATAATTTAAGTGAGTCTGAAGTCTTTAAGTCAATTTTAGGTTTCTCCTTGGCAATGCTAAACCAAATATGTTACCCTCTTGATACAAATTACTTGCTACGCAAGATGCAAAGGCGTTTCTGTGAACAGCTACGGCTGTCACCCACTCTGGCAGCAGCCTTTACCCTGTAGCCTCTGCCGGACACCCAGCAAACGTGAGAAGTTATTTGCACAAAACCTCTGTTTTTCTTGAGCAATTAGATTTTCCCTAGCAAGAAACTTCTTTGGACAGAGATTTCTCTCACTCGCTTGCACAGCACTAGACATCAACCACAAATATTCACCTTCTTTGCAACAATCCTATAATAACAGTTTTAATGTTACACGCTTTCTTGGAAAGAGCTCCTTAATTATAGAACAGCTTTTCCTTCTAGCTCAGTAAAATAATTATTAAGATATTTAAATGGCTCCATCCCAACAGCAACACACAACAAACGCAGTCATTTGGGATGGTCAAAGGTGTTTCTTTATGTCACACACGCGTGTAACAGACTGTAGCAACGAGATCATAAGCAAAGGTTCAGCTTGACCAGAGATTTTTAAAGACACATTTGAAACACAGCCTCTGTTCAAATCTTAATAATGAAATACATTGATTATTTTCAACATCCAGTGGTTAAGCTCCTTTCTTTTTAGGATCCAAATCATAACATAAAATCCAAATGGCAACAGATCTTGTTAGACATGAAGTAATTATGGCAAATGAACTCATTTAACTACTCCAGATACAGACATGACTAAATTACTTCCAGTTTAGGAAATGACAGTCTTCTGTTGAACGAATACCAGACTTCAGTATGTTTACCTGCTTTTTCCCTTCATCTCACCAGAAAACCACCCCCTCCTAAAAATTCCTTACATGTAAATACCATAAGATTCTTTTCACAGCAAACCTTATAAATACACATATACTCTAAGATCTCAAACCATCAAAACTCAAGAGATTTTATGACTATACGCACACTATGTACATACACATACCACAAATACTCCAATCATTTAACTGAGGACTGACAATTAAAAAAAAAAAAAAGACCGCTACCCAATGCTGATTATTAAAGAGGCAAACTGTGTATAAACAATCACACTCTTAGCTTGGAAGTACGCTCAAGTATGCTTAAAGCATTTTTGCAGTATTACATCGGTAGATGAAATTAGATTCAATTTTTGCAGTACTAGTATTAGTAAGAGTTCTAAATTTTTTAACTTTTTGCCACAGCAGATGTTTTGGTAGCTCTCACCTTCGCTGGCAACTGGAAATACTAATCAGAACCCAAAAAGAATATAATCTTTAAGCATTAAATATTTAGAATTCATAGATGGTGCTTGATTTTTCTTCAAGCTGAGTTAAAGAAAAAATAAAATCTATGGATTAGCTGCTATCACAAACTATTCCCAAAGCAGAATGCCAGTGAGTGGTACTGCAGTTTCTTCTCCCTTACATCACTGCACAGTGAAAGCTCCTTGGGACAGGTTTGGAATATCTAGAACAACTGAAATTGCTATTTGGAGTCAACGCACATTGTGACAGTTTTCTATGCTCAAGCAACCCACCAAAGAAAAGAAATCAAACACCTCAATCCTCCTACAGCACCCAAAGGCTGTCTGCTGTGTTTTCTCCTTTCCTCTGATCACAGCCACAGCAGAGAGACAACCCTCACAGGATAATTAATGATGCTGTTAGACAAAAAGGAAAGAAACTAAATGGAGCCAGACTGCCTTTTGCATTAGAAAATAACATCAAGTATCTATCTGCCAGATGCAAGACAAGAAAAGCCTGCTGGAAAAGAAGATTCTGCACTTGGAGAGCACTTAGAAGACAGCACTTAGAGAAAACTGCACATTAATGCAACATCTTTAAATAACGGTATTAATATCAGAGCCAAAAGATTCCAGTATCTTTTGATAAGAATAAAAGAACCAGGATATGACTGAGTGGGGGTTACAGTACTGCTCAGCTTCCAGAAACTATTGACATAGTCAATATTTTACTCCCACTCACAGTACCAGCACAGAGAAGGGATGATTGACTTGTCAGGATGACTCCTAAGTGCACTGTCCTATCGTCACCATAAATTGGCAAGATATTGAAGATGTTTGCCTTATTCTCACCCTTTTATCAGTTATATATCATCACTGCCTCCCTTCTCCAGTGCTGCTGTTCATGCTGATGAGAAAACTTATCAATGGAAAAATGAACTCACAAAAAAAGAAAAAAGGTTCTTAAGAGACTCTATGTGGCATTACAGCCTGCAACATCAGAGGCTGAAGGTGTCTGCTCCAGGAGGCTATGTGACTTTTGTCTATTGTCCCTGTTGTTCCGATTCTCTGTCTTAAAATAAAATTTAAGAATATTTCTGTATTTCAATGAAGACTTTTGAAATATTAACATTGGAGGATGTGCCTACCTTAACTGAAAGGAAAGAAAGAGTGGAACATACAGAATCACAGAATGGTTTGGGTTGGAAGGGACCTCAAAGATCATCTAGTTCCAACCCCCTGCCATGCATATCCAACTGCAGCTAAAACCAAACAAACAAAAAAACCACTAACACAAAAGGGCACCTACCACTAGTTAAACCTTTTCCTTACAAGTAAAGAAAAGGAAGGATCTACTCTGCGTTTTTCACATCAACTATTCATCACTTTTCAATGATCCATAATGATTCAAAACCACCTAGAAAACATTAAAACCCCCTACATCCTACTTCTAAATGGATAAAACGTTTCCTCAGTGGCAGACTCAAATGGCAATCAGTCCATCTAACTTGAGCACGAGGTGCCTTATGCAACCTCCGATCCAGGGACCACAGAGAGAGCCTGAAAATAATTTTCTTTGGAAAGCAAAGCTGTAGAGCTGTGGTGCCCAGGTGTACTTAGACATTGGAAAAAGCACTTTCAATATTTCCAGTTTGAAAAGAAAAATATTAATGTTATTTATACAAAAAATTTGAAAACCACAGTTGAGATGTTTGGCGTCAAGGCTGATGTTAGACTCATGGCAAGCAAACGGGAGATCAAAGCTGGCCGACGAATAACAACAGTGCATTAAAACATCTTTACAGTCCTAAGCAAATATTGCATATACATGACAAGTGATGATCTGCCCTGGCAGGACTCCTTCCACAAGCCACCTTTTTGACTTCAGCAGCTAGAACACTTCTGGTTTTTCTAACCTTGTGTTCACAAAAGCCTCCACACAGAAGAGTTCATAGAATGCGTGTTATGTATTTGTTCTGTATGACAAATTTTCTAACTGTCCTGAGTCATTTCCAAATTTTTTGTCTCTCACCAATCTAAACACAAAGTAGACAGGATGGGAGGAGTTAGAGTGAACATTTAAATACTAAGAACAAAAGCTTCTCAGTATAGTGAACAAACTGCACCTGCAGCATGCTTTCATGCTATCTTCTAATCTTTAAATAAAGAAAACGTTCTAATGTAAGGCATTTGCGTGAAAACCTTTTCGCTTACAGGGAGAGCGTTTCCTTTTGCTAAAACTTCAGAGTTTCAGCTACTTCTAAATAGAAAGTCATATACCTACTGATACTTTATTTAAGAGGAACAAAGTTGTTGAAAGTATAAATTATCTTCTTGGCCAAGTAGTAAGAGAGATTAAAACATATCACCATATATGTTGCTACTCCTACTACCAATAGAAAAAAAAAAAAGAAGAAAAAAGAAAAATATATATTCTGATTTGGCCTATCTCTGTTCAATTACTGTAACAATGTACATGTAGTTAAATGAATTTCCTGTAAACAAACACTTACTGGAACACACACTTTTAATACAGGTTTGTTTACTCTAAATGTGTTAGAAAAAAAAGCAAAGAAACAAAACCCAAACTGTAGCTTGCCACAGTAATCAGCGTATTGTCCTGCAGTTGCAGTGTCACTTCGCTGAATAATTTTCCACTACTGACAACCCAAGTACAATATCCAAACAGGGGCATTAGCCCAGAACTCTGACATTTATGAAGACATAAGAAGCATTTTTGAGCAAGCAGGTACCAAAAAAAGAAAGGTCTTCTCCAAATTGAGAAAGAACTGCAACAGATCAACTCGCAAAGAAAGTCCCACAGGTTAATGAAAATAGGAAGCAAATCCCATAATAGGAGACAGAAGTCTAGTACTTTCCAAGTCCATATCCCTGATACCTTCACCTTTTTCAGATGCAAAAACTAAATCCTTTCCAGCCCTTCAGTGGTATTACATGAACCAAAACTCATGTGTTTAATTTTTTTTTTTTTTTTTTTTTTACTTATTAGCCTTTCTATCAGCAGTCACTG